CTGCTTTTCTGATGTGAGGGGCACATTATACTTCCACGTGATTTCTGTGCGGTTGGTCTCTACGTGACATACTTAGTGGGGACCTCATAGAAAGCGGTGAGTGTGCGAAGCTGTGTTCAAAGTGATTGAAATCTTGGTTTGGGGTTTCTTTGTTTGGTTATGGAGGCGTCTGGCCGAGTGAGTTGCTATCAACTTGACCTTTCCAGGCTCTGAAGAAGGCGAAATTCGCCGAAACGTCAGCGTAATCGTGAACAAAGAACAATAACACCTCGCGTTTGCTCAAAAAAATACGAACAAAATCACTTGATCAATGCCGAGGTTAATAGAAAGTCGGTCGTGGCAGTTATCGGGCCAGTGCTGCCATCCTCCCAAGGCTGGTACCAATTTGCCGACCCCGAGAGATGGATGGCTTGGTGGGTCATAGGCGCTGATATCAATTCCACGTGTGTGCTGCAGAGCCTCTGACCACTGCGCCACACGCGCCCTTGACGAAGTAGATCACCAAAACTATGAGGAGATAAGCGTTGATTTCATTAAACAGGTGGTTCCAGGTTTCACACAGCAAAAGATCAAGGAAGCTTTCTATCGCTCGAGGGTTAACAGATTGGCATCTGACTTCTCTAGGAGAGCCTCATTCCGTGGCGCAATGAGTAGCGGTGGTCTTTGAGGTACTTGGGAGAATTTTAACAAACCTGTTTTAGAATTCCATCCAGAATCAATTCGACCAGTAAACAACCAAGTGTATAAAGTGCACGAAATTCTCAAGTGGAGAAGTTTGATAGTTTTACCAAACTCGTAATCCCTTGTGCGGGGATCTGTCCTCAATAGATTGACAAGAAACGTATATGTCATTAATTTCTTGCTGCTCCGGCAGACATGCTGCAGGTAATAGTCAGATTAGTCACACTTCGCCTTCCAATTATCGGTTGGCTAACGGTCAACGACAAACCGTATATAGTAAAAGTTAGTTGTTATTGGCTTCATGTTTTTTAAAAATTTTTTCAAACAACGGGAAAAAGAAGAACAACAGTGTCGGTCTAGTCGTAGTTTAAAAAGTGAACCTATTCACACTGAGGTCCCTCAGAACACTTTAAGCTCTTCAATATTTAGCTAGACGGCTTTTAAAAGTTTCCTTCTAAATAATTAGACTATCAAATGAGTAAAATTCGAACTGTATTAACTGAACAATTGGTTTAGACCCACAAAAATCGTTACCGATCAACTCTGCTTTGCTTGATCAATCAAAATTTTTTTAGTTAATCACATTTTCCCTGCCAATTATTTACTGTTTCATCGTAGCTAGGAGATGTTCCTGGGTGTCGTATTGCGATATACAGAAAGGAGATTCGTCCCCCTAGCAGGGCTTCCCAAGCTGACGGGAGCCCGGTGTTTCCATCATGAAGCCTAGCTAAGAGTATACAAATACCAGGATCCACCACCGTCCTAGTATTAAACTAGTGCATGGTGGCAAATCTTCCTGTGATTCACAAGGGCTGCAACTGCCTGTGGTGATGAAGACCTGGGGCAAATTTTTGCCAGGCTAACCTCGAGTTTACAGGACACTACAATGAATAATCCAGCAAATCTCCTAAAAAGTGGAGATTATGCTGAGGCCCGCACAACCAGTGAGGGCTGGCCGTCCAAATAAGTAAGTAAGAAAGTAAGTAAACACATTTTCCTCTTTTAAAACTATGTTGAATCTTTAATGGCAGATTTCGCAGCAGCTACACATCTGTTGTGCGACAACAGGTAACAAATGGAGTTTAACGGTGCTCACCCTCACTTCGAGGCATCCGCATATGTAGTCTTGGCCTCTCTGACCATGTTAACATGTTGCCGCTTGTAGTGTTTAACGATTGGCATACCGTTTTTCTTGCATTCTAGTTGTTATAGTGCGTTTAATCAAACAAGTTCGAGAGATTGCTCTATAGCGACGTCGAAAAGTGTTCCACATCGCGCAAGCGACCATTTGGCGCCAAGAACTGACTCAGGAACCTATTTTGCACTGGCAACTGTTATACCACCGCGTTTTTATTACTTGGATTTCGATGCCTATTAATCTCTTGGCACCTCGACACAGTTGTTGATAGATCTTGCATTAGCAACATCGCGCCTGTCCTGGAAAAAGATTTTAAATTTTTACCAATGTCGAGGTTAACGAAACGTTCGTTTAGAGAGTTTTTTCTTCTTATTCGATGCGAAAACTATCGAAATAACTGCTATAATAGAAGACTTACAGATTGGACTTATTATCGGAGCGGAGTACTTAGTTCTATTGGAACTCTTTGCTCAACTTATTCTGTCCATTAATCGATTCACCGGCGTATACTATCCAGTGAAGTACAATCGCGTATGTTTGCTTAACGCGATAACATTTGAAAACCACTTGTTAGTGTTTTTCAAAATTGATCACGGGTAATTGTATCAAAGAAAAATTGGTAAGAAGGGATCTGTTTAGAAGCATTTGAAAAGTAGAATGTTCAAATTCTCAACCTTCGCATTTCAGAGGCCTACTCTTTAGTTGTGGTTTACATGCTTTCCTATCAGATTTTCGGTGAGATGATATCACTCTGGGTCGCACCCATCAATTAAGGGAAATGATACATTTCATGTTTCATCTAACCTATCGTTTTGCTAAAGAAGCAGAACAAAAGAGAGTATTTAACGCAGTAGTTAGAAGTGCCTCACAACGCACACGTGGTTATTGGTTTGATCCAGCAAGTCGTGCTCACCAAACATAACATCTCTCTGGGATCGGCAAATTGTTACCAGAGCTGTCTGTGAGAATGGCATTGCTGAGTTGAAGTATCGGTAGGCAACTACAAGTCGTTGTAAAGACCAGATATACACTCGATAACTTCTACGATGCTTTATGACGTCGAATGAACAACGCATCATCCAGAGATCGACGAATGCTGAATGCTTCATCCTTTGCTCTTTTAGAGTAGGGCATATTTATTAACATCAGTTTAATTATTTGTAGTAGTTTGGAGTTCTGAAGCGGGGTCTAAGAAGAATAAGAAACAGCACGAGGTGGACATCTATATGCCTCTATAGAAAAAATTGCCGCTACATAGTGCCTAAGAATGAAGGTAATGTGTGTTTATTTTCAGTGGTGAACACCAAAAAGCATTATTACGATATTTGTCGCGTGTCATATGATAGGTCTGATTGAGCCAATCATGAGACTACATCAAGAATTCGCCTTTCTTGTTGTGGATGGAGCTGTAGTAGCGTATGCAGTGGATCCGAGTTACCAAAAGGTCATACAAAGATTCATCCTTGACGAATAACGGGCTATATGCATTGGTTTCAATGCAGGCAATGCGAAAATGGCGCGCATTTTCAATCTTACATAAACATTTTTCAGGTTGCTATGAGCGACAATAAATGAAATAGAAACCAATGAAATACGCCGATCTGCGCTAATCAGTCACAAGTTCTTTCTACTCTATACTGAAATAATGAGACAGCAACGTTCAAATTTTACTTACTGCCTATTATTTTACAGTGGCAGAGTATTAGGCGAAATACAAGCAGAATGATGCTGAGATATGAGTGGTGCAATACATAACACGTTAGCCTAGGAAAGGATACTTACTTGATACTTGAATGGTCCGTCCTCACCAAATATGCGGGCCGCAGCATAATCGCCAACTGTGTATCACTTCTATGGAGAGATCATCAAAGAAAAGTTCTTGTTGCAGTGGCCTTTCTTACTGATCAAAACACCCATTGAGTCTTCCCTAGTAAAAATGGTAAAGCACACTTTTTTCTACGATTGCTCGAAAATTTCGATGCAATATAATAGTTCGAAGTTTTTTTTTCCTTACTATTGCAAGGTACAATGAGTTCAGGTGGTAGTTTTTACTTCTCACAGGAATATAACATAATTTTAGCAGATATGGAGCAAATGAAAATAACAGGTTTACTGGTTTTTTCTATTTGCAGGGTGTGATATTATTAGATGCGTTACACAGCAAAACCCATGAAGGAGTGCTTGTCGTCATGGTGCTCACGTTCACTCGCGACGCTCTCGCCCTATCGAATCCGTGGCTTCTGTTGATACTATCGAAATCGTTTCGTTCCCGTTTTCTGAATGTGGTACGTTGTGCTGCTGCTCAACGGAATACCGTAGTATGAGTACTGTCGATCAGCTATTTCATTGCAATAGATTTCGAAATATAACAAAAGGTTTGCTCACTTCATCAGTCCTGGTAAGAACCACGCTCGATATCAGGTAGAAAGTGATGACGATATTTTAGTTGCCATTATCCAGGTTTTTGGCATTTATCCAAAAGGCCTCAAGAAGTTTTCGCGCTGGTGGTTTAGTCTCCTGTGCAAGGATATTGACTTTTACTTCAAAATCGTCTCCGCTATGCTTGTGTATCCTATACGTGCCTAGTGGGGTGCTTCGTCTTAGTTTTCGTTTGTCATCGAGGTGTTCTTTCATACGGATACACAAAGGTCTGCCCGTTTCGCCAATATATTCATCTCCGCAATTATTACAAGAGATCAGGTACATCGTACCTAAACTCATGCAATCACCGTCGCTGTCGTAAGGTCAAATTACGCAATTCCCTTTGTGTATCCGTATAAAAGAACACCTAGATGGCAAACGAAAACTAAGACGAAGCACCCCACTAGGCACGCATAGGTTACAAAAACATAGCGGAGACGATTTTGAAGTAAAAGTCAATATCCTTGCGCAGGAGTCCAAAACACCAGCGCGAAAACTCCTTGAGCCTTTTTGGATCAGTGCCAAAAACCCTACAATGAATTGCAGGGATGAATGCCCGGAGGTCATACGCGACCTGATCCCGTACGTTCGGATCGATTTTTGATGTGGGATGGTGCAGTCGTCAAACACATGCGACTATAATCAGCTGTTCTAAACTTCCTTATTGGAAGTCACGAAAAAGCGGTGGGTTTTTCGAGAAGTTGTTGATCATGTAATTACCAAGGAGTTTTTCGTCTTTTTGTAAGTGTTATTGAAGCGTTTGGCCTAGTAGATTGTATATCAGTATACCCTTCCAGGTTCTGAAGAAGGCGATACTGCCGAAACGTCAGCTAGCGTTGTAATGTATTGTGGTTTTCTATGGAAGTAAATGTATGCTGTTTAAAAACCTCGCGATTGCTGAACAAGAAAACGACACATTCATATTCCACTTCTAGTGTTGATGAAAGAAGTCGTGCATCACCTTCAGCAGCGGCGAACATTAACACTTAGAGTTCTAATTGAATTGATTTCCACTCATACGGTATGAAAATAATGCGATGGTTGCTGTCTGTCAACTTTAAGGCTACATGTCTCAACTTATAGTAGGGTTTATTACTTGACTCGCAAGTGACTATTATATCCTTTAGGAGAAATGGGGTTGTTAGCTTAACACATATTTCACACTAATTAGTCTTTCGGCAGATTTCATTTTTTCAGAGAATGTAAAAGTAAAATTAGTATAATTCCAGACCGCAGGCGCATGCGGTGGGGAACGAACACGCGCTGTTGTCCTTACCGGGGAGCATCGCTCATCACCACACCATCCGTGTCCTTCCCTTCGCCTGTCTCTCAGCTATATTTCGCAACATACCCTGCCATTAAAAAGAAAAACGCAGTAAATAAAAGGGTTAAAATTTGTATGTGATAAATACTTCCACAGCTCTAAAAGAAATCCCCAATACCTAAATATAGATCGCGTAGGAGCCGCTTTTCCATGCCAAGCAGTCTTTCTTTTTCTTCCAAGTTTTCCACTTATTGTTGGAGTCCAGTAGCGCAGAATTTATCTGGGGGGAATTGTGCGTGGCCCAAATCAAAAAGATCGTTCGCATGTATTGCTTGTGGTCACACTTACGAGATCGACCTCTCTGCGGTTATTCTCTCAATTTCTAGAGGCTACTCCTAATATCTCTACACTTCTTTGAACTGATGATCCCGATTTTGTGAGAGCTAGTGATGAGTTTATTTCAAAACTTATCTCCTATGTTCTTTTTTTAAGTGCGTAGTAGACCACTTGTCTGTGGAAACAGGATAGCCTATCCGGTTCGTCAATGGATTCGTTCCTCAAATGTAATCAGAAGACGTCCGACCCCATGAAATCACCGTCCTTACAGCTTGCACTAACCATGCATTAGTTTTGCGTTATACGTTGTAAAAATGCTTACAAACTAGCTGATGATGTGGATGTTTATACATGTTTATTTCCCCTTCGTGTTCTGTAAGGAGTTCGCGTATGGCTTGCATTGCGGAGTCATTCGACACGTTTGTATAAAGGGCGGTAACGTCGAAGGACTCCATCACATACGCGCTGCTGGGCTGCGCAGTGCGCAGACGATCCAGAAACATCTGGCTATTCGCGAAATGGGCTGGAATGTGTTTCAACGACTGGTTAAATATTAGGGTTAAAAACCATGTTATCCTATCCATTGGCCCGTCTACGCAGATAATGACAGGTCTAACATTAAATAATGATGGATCGGTAGAGGCAAGATCATCCCTGGATACTAACTTATGAGTTAACGTGGTTAAACGTGGTATGCGAGAGGTACGAGAGCTGGTAAGGTTGAAAAACATAAAACTATTCGTTAATGATAAGGGTGGAGAGTTTGTCGTAATTCCCCATCAGTTATATGTTGAGATAAGGAAAAATCATCTTGAAGATGCTTCACTTTAGTCCAGAAACTTGGCGCGGCAAATAGCCATTTCCAATGGCTACAAAAGTGTAGCTCGGGATAGGTGTAGGGAAAATCGGAGGCTTCCAGACGACAACTCTAGCGATAAAAAGGTCCCATTTATCTTGCCGTTCATCTCAAATGACGTAAGTGCAGCTATAAAACGCTGCTTAAGAAGGGCAGGTCTAGAGAATTCGGTAAACGTTGTTGAAAAACCACCTAGTAATCTTAGGCGCCAGCTAGTTCGTAACCGCTTGCACGACCGTCTATTGCAACGCAAAGTTGCATAATTTACCCTAATAGTAGAGACGGTGTTTGCATAAGTTCGCGTACAGTTTATCTGATCTCCTGTAAGGCGTGCGAAGACGAATACATTGGCGAAACGGGCAGACCGCTCTGTGTCCGCATAAAGGAACACCAAGCCGGCAAACATAAACCAAATACGCCGCTAGGCACGCGTAGGACCCAGAGAAATAACGGTGAGGACTTTGAAGTACGTGTCACGATCCTCGCGCAGGAATCAAGAAGACAAGCGCGCAAAACTCTCGAGGCGTTCTGGATTAATTCCAGAAATCCGAAAATGAACCGCAGGGAAGAATGCCTCATTATCACGCTTGATATTGGACAGTATATAAACCTGTTATTCTGTTGGGAAGAGCACATTACGCTTCCGTGTGAATTCTGTGCGGTAGGTTTCCACGCGACATACTCAGTGGAAGACTCATATAAAACGGTAAGTGTGCAAAGAAGCTACTCTGTGTTAAATGTGATTGAAATCTTGGTTTAGCGTTTTCCCTGTTTGGTTATGGAGGTGTTTGGCTGAATAGATTGCTGTCAACTTGACCTTTCCAGGCTCTGAAAAAGGCGAAATCCGCCGAAACGTCAGCTTGTACGTAAATAAAGAAATAAAGTAGCACCTCGTGTTTGCTGAACAGAAGTAGAAAGAAGCGGTAGTAAATTTCCAATTTCATCCTGTCGCATGCAAAATTAGATCAGTGGGTTCCGCGCGCTCTAGCAACTCGTTGAACATCATATATTTCCTCCAAGGTTTTCGTGAAGAGCTCTGTTGATCAAATTGATGGCCTGTCTGCTGTGCGTTTGACATTCCGAAGAGCCTACTGGGATGGAATGTTTGTTGAAAAACAAACAATTATCAGCGAGGAACCACCGTCATCGACAATCTTCCTGTATAAAAGACTGCTGTCGAGTGAGGCGAGCGTAACGACTACGAAGGCACTATGTTGGGAAAGCGAATGTTAACAAATTTTTCTTCTTCCTTTCCTATTACTGCGCTTTTATAAAACATTTCAGTGAGTGAATCTGTTTGCTGCTCACATGAGTTGAACACATAACATGAGCAGATATGGGATGGATAAATCTAGTAAGACTATTGTTTTTGCTTTTTACAGGCTATGATCTCATTAGAAATGTTTGCCTGTTAGAATCCATCAAAAAGTTCCTGCCATCATCTCGCTCTGGTTCAGTGCTGATGTTTTCGCTCTTTCGAATCCATGGCTTCTGTTGATACCGTCGAAATCGTTCCGGTCGCGTTTTCTGAATGCGTTGCGTTCTGCTGCTCTACAGCCGAGCGCCTTACTATGAGATGAGTATTGTCGATTATCCGTTTCATTGTAATAGTTTTAAAGAAATAGAGGGTTTGTGACTTCATTTGTCGAGGCAAGAGCTAGGCTCGATGTCAGGTGGGAACTAATGACAAAGTTTTAGTACCCATGCTGAATGATGGACATTTAGAAGCATAGAAAACTTATTCATAATTACACAGCAGGTGAATTTCTTAGTTCCACTTCTAGTGTTGACGAAAGAAGTCTTGCATTACCCTTTCGGCGAAGGTCATTTTTCTGAGCTTGGAAAGGTTAAATTAATCTGTAATCTCGTCAAGCAGATACTTCCACGGATCCACTAGAAAAACCTTAATACCTACATTTTAATTGTTCGGTAAACTGTTTTTCTGGCTGTTCAACTTTTTTATGCAAGCCTTCCACTAATTGTTGAAGAACTATCGCGCAGAGTAAATGTGAATGAGAAGTGGGCCTGACCCAAATCAAAAAGATCGTTCGCGTGTATGACATGAGATCACGGGTGATTATGAGGTTGGCTCCTCAATGGTTATTATCTGGATTTTTAGAGAAAACACAGAATATCTTTGGACTTTTGCTAATTGATGTTTGAGATTTCTGTTCGAGGGCAGCGATTTTATTCTATAACCCTCGCCATTGCGTGCTTTTGTCCCTTCGTGTCTATTGAAGTACTTTGTCTGACTCTAGGTTATGCGCAAAGGATTCTTTTATACGGAAAGAAGTGGCGAACCGATACATTTCTTCAACTTCGCTTTCGGCACCATATTGTGATCTGTCCTTTTTCGGATGGGTGATTATCAACTTTCAAAAATGTAAGCGACATTTATATCGGTCTCTATCGCGTGAATTTCTTTCAACACAACCATCAGACGAATC